GAAAAACAGAAGCGTGGCTAAGAATTTAGTAATTTAAAAAAAAGTCTTTTAGATACAGTAGTAGGTATTAAACAGTTTTGTATTTAAATGGGGTTTGCCTTTAACAGGTAAAAAGTTATATCGTAAAGTGTAACTTTCCGTAAGAATGCTTTATCTGTCATTGATCATGATCTGTCATCATGTTAACCTGATGTTTTGTATGTTATTTTGTTTTTTTCGAGGTTTTTTTGCTTGCTTGTTTTTCGGATAGGTGCGATCGCATAATTATTATTGATAATGTTATATTTAATGTTAACATTACTACTTTTTCAGTGAATCTTTAAATCTGTTGTTTTTTGTTAAGTTCGTTATTTAAACATATGTATGTAATACACTCATATTAACATTAATCATATTTTTACGTTTTTATTCATCATTTTCAATGCCCCCCCGATTGCATCTTTGTAAAGGACGGATTCATCTGCATTTAGATTCATCTGCAGAAAATGAATCTAAAATTGGTTCTCTAGAGCTATTGGAATCAATAAACACTTGTTTCTTCACTCTCTCCAATTTGAATTATCTTTTCTTTAGTTCATATCTTAGCTAAGTATTTTTCTTGTATTGCAGTTGTGTTTATGTTTTTTTTTAAATATTAATAACAATAATACTATCAATAACATGATAGACATGTTCAACAGTGCCAACGAGTGCCCAAAAGGTACCTATATCCCAGTCTTAACGGGTGCTCTACTGTCTCACTGTTGGGCAATATATTTTGTCTCACTACCGGACATTAACACCATTCTAAACTTACATCTCCATTAATGAATTTATTAAAATACCTAAGTGTTGGCCTTACAGACCGAAGAAAACGCACATGTTAAAAATTATTTTTCGCTTCAGAAATTTTTTTGGGTGCAGTTGACATATATCTCCCATCACTGTAGGTTCCATATTTGATACAAAATATTTGGTATGTAGGTAGTGTTTTACTCTCGAAAGGGGAATTGGATTCGACGCGTTTTAAATGAAGGGGATTAAATGTCTCACTGTTGGACCTGTCTCACTATTGGGCATTTTCCCCTAATAGTTCTATGGCCACGGAATTTTTGGGACATTCTGTATATAATCCTCCAAAGTGAGAGTATTGAAATGAATCTTGATTCTGATGGTTCTGATTTTGATAGACCATTCGAGACACTTAGTGAAGGAGAAGATCTTAAACTGTAGCTATACTTTATGTACCGAATAATAGGCACGTTTCATGTTTTTCAATTTCCACATAATTATGCAGATTTTAACATAATTAGTGCTTGCTACTTAGCCTTTTTTATATAAAACTTAATATTAGGCCAAAAAATGAGGTAAAAGTTTGAATTTCACAATTACGCGCGCTGCGATGACGTATGTAGCCCTCGCCAATATGATTGGCTGGTTTTCGCCTCGAAATAAACTTGGTGAATTTTATGATGTTGGCAACACTGGTATTTGTTCAATGTCAAAATGACATTGTTTACAATTGTTTATTTTTGATTTTAAATTAAATTTGCATTTTAACTATTTTCAATAATGTTAAAACATTAATTGTTCTATTGTTGGATAACATTTATCAGTAACTTTAATAAAATGTTTTTGTACGCGCCGAAAAAGATGGAAAATCGTAAATGCTGTTTTTCCGGAAAACATCTCTTAAGCTATGAATATGATTTCAAAGCATTATGTTTGATTTGTTAAATCATTAATGGCCTATTTTTTATATGTGGAAGAAGGTGGGGAAAATTAATTTGAAAAAAATATAATTCCTGATAACTAAGATTAATAGTACCGTATGATTTTATGATGAAAAAAAACGGCGTCAGCGATGGCTATGAAATGAAGATCGCTGTCATGTTATATGTAAATTTATATGGTAGCTGTCATCGATCGTCATTTCCCAGCCAACTGGACGCCATTTTTTTTCGATCATACGGTATTTTCGGAAAATCACAGTTATGGTATAAAACAGGTACGCTACAATCTGGCCATGAAACGTACGTCTGCTATCTGACCAAGAAAAGTTAGAGAAGATGAACAAGGCAATTAGAAAAATTCTATTGGCTCCAAGAATGTTAATAAATACGTTCATGGTTAAGTTATTTCAGAAGATTATTAATAAAATACATTGTATAGATAAAATAAGGCTCTAATGCAATGCATTTTTACATAAAATCAAGTAAATATTTTATTTTAAAGTTTTGTTATTAGATGTATTAACATATGATCGATAATTATTTTTTTTAAGAGTGTTATATAAATATATCAGATTCGAAGAAAACATATATTGTCGAGTATATTATGTATTTCATATACATATGTATAAATTTATTAAATTAAAAGGCAAGTAAATATAAAGTGTTTTAATTTAAATATTGTAATAATTTACATTTTGATGGTGATGAGACTTACTGAATATCAGGGCAGTCAATTTACAATTAACCCGCTCTAAGAATATAAAATATAAATATTAAGAGAAGACAAGAATGGCAATAAAAGTTGCTAGAAAGTAAGATGTTATCTTCCTTCATTCTAAATAAATCATATGGTACCTTTCTTGATTTTATTTGTTATGTATTACATATGTGTACATGCCGTCTAAAATTAAAATATAAATAGATAAATAAAAACCTACATATTTTAGTTATAATTTAAAAATCACCAGTGATAGCTGCATAGCTTAAAAATTTAGTTCCTTCCACTTTCTGTACACTTTTATCATTGCAATCACATAATGTTTAGTTGTACTTTTTATTTGATTGTACAGAAACCCTCTTTTTATTGAACGTATCCAATCGAACTGTTATCATTATGATTCATTCTATGCTCTGTAAATAATGGTTTTATTACTTTTAAATAAATTCTTCAAGAAAAAAAATGTCACCTTGATATTTTAACTTCTTTATTTCAGCGCTTAAGTATTTTAAATTGACTATATAAAAACTGTCCACCGTATACTCCGTCACCATTCGAAAATTATCCGAAAACGCTTTTTCATAGTTTTGGACCCCATTTAGATAAAATTAAAAGTTAGAACCAAGAAAATTTGCCGCTGAACTGAGAAGAAAAATAATAACAAAATCCAAAATGGCTGCGCCCGATACGCATGAGCCAGGCAATCAGTCATGCCAACATATGATATGAAACTTCCTACGTTCTTTCTACGATCTGAAACGTGATTGGTGAAGGCTATATACGTCACAACTCAACCGGGAATGTTGAAGTTTGAAATTATAATTTAATTTCTAAAAATATATCATGGAATTTTTTCGTATTATTTTCATGTATTGTATTAATCTATACAATACAATGATTTATTTGCGAATTTATATTTTTTGGAACATGCCTATTATAAGCTGTCGACATTGTCGACGTTGACGACATTACTTAGTATGTGTCGATACCATAGTTGACGGGTCAACAATTAAATTGTCGTCGTGATATACTCGACGTGGCCCAACTCTGAATGTAATATAAAAATTGAAATTTAACCTTTTAGGTCACATCGTTTGTTATATTCTGTACGAAAATTTTTACAAAATTCTAGCCAATATCAAAACATATGCAAAGCATGCAATATGTTTAAGCTAAGAAAGTCGTGCACTTCAACTTGTCTAGATATGAATTTTTGTATTTGCTTACCTAGGCATGTACGTAAAATTTATTTAACAGAGCCATATTTTTCGTAAAATAGAAGCAAAAATACTAGAGCAAGGCAACAGTAAATTTTATTTGGGATAATATAAACACGGAAATAAAATTATATTAGATTTCGACAATATTCCTTTTTTTATTTAGGCCTAAAGGTAGTACTTCTGGTAAATTATAATAAAAAATTAAATTATTTTATAACATCTTTAAAGACACACATTTATATTATTAAATACTCACAAACATCTGTGCAATTATATAGTGCATATCCAGGAAGACAAAATTACTAAATATTAATTAAATTATTATTAAAAAAGATAAATATGTATTATATTAAATTATTAATTAAATATAGGTTTTCAATAAACAACAGTATTATTGGGTAGTATTATTAGTCAAATTAAAGTTTCATGCAAAAACGATGTATTTTATATTATTAATTAGTATTGCTAAATGATATCTACAACTATTTGCTTTACAATGAAAAAATACATTTTAATTAAAGTGTTAATAAAATTGCTGAGTAGGTATGCTTATTTAGTACTTATAGCGATATTCAGTTAAATCTATTTCAGTAAATTTTAAAATGTTGCTCTTCCATCGGGAAACTAGCCGGAACGTAAGTTGGATGGGAAGTTGGAAGTTGAAAAAGTTCATCTTAAATATGTCAAAATCTATTCATTTTAAAAAGTTTATATGGGACCGTTATAGGCTTCTATACATAGAGGATAAACGGTAATTTCACTATTATTTATTATTTTCCAGAGATTTTTTTCAGATTTTGCAAAATATCAATTTTGGTTTGATTTCCAAAACACCCTATACGTAATTAAGAAATAAAATAAAAATGCCATGGTAGGGTATCATCCACCCTCTATCCAATCATGTATAATTAGTTTTAATAAATGGAAGGATATACAAATTTGAAAAAAATAACACATAAAAAATCAATATTTTAAAATCATTTTGAGGCCAAACTGAACTTCTGTGAGATTATTTGTTTCTGATAATTTTCAGAATTAATAATATTATTTATATTGGAACGGCTTTGGAGAACATCACTCAGCCTCAGGAGAATTACTATTATACTCTGGTAAACCACATAATGAAAAACATGCAAACGGAGTGGCTCTTCTCATAACTAAAAACCCACCAAAAGCCTTATAGAATGGAAACCAATAAATGACAGAATCGTGATAGCAAGATTCAAAACCAAAGTTAGAAATCTTACAATTGTACAGTGCTATGCTCCAACTGCACCCTCCACCGATGAAGACAAAGACATATTTTATAAAACATTGAACACTACCCTTAATGCGATAAAAAAATCAGACATGATGATCGTGATGGGAGACTTTAACGCCAAAGTTGGAAGTGATAACCGCAATTCTGAAGATATAATGGGAAAACACGGATTAGGCAATCGAAACAATAACGGCGAAAGTTTGCTGGGAATGTGCTCTAATTACCAACTAACTATCGGAGGCACACTTTTTCCTCATAACGTAGTCCATAAAGCTACATGGAAATCGCCAGATGGGCACACAACAAACCAAATTGATCACTTTTTAATTAGCCGGAAGTGGAGAAACTCACTTTTTGATTTAAGAGCGTACAGAGGAGCAGATCATTACCTACTGATTGCTGAAATAAAATTAAAAATTGCAAAGATTCGAAAAACACAACCGCTAAGACGTAAATTCGATCTTCGTCGACTGGCTTCTCCTAACATTCAAAACCAAATAAAGCACCAGATACAGGAAATAAACATCGATAATCAACTGTAAATATAGAAGAGAAATGGGAAGAAGTGAAAGAAAGTCTTCAAAAGATTGCCGAAGAAAACCTCGGATATCAGAGACATATTAAAAAACCATGGATCTCAGATGGCACATGGGAAAAGATTAAAGAAAGAAAAAAAATTAAACAAAAAATTCTACAAGCAGGCCACAGCACACAAATAAGAACACTAGAGGAGCAATATCTCACAAAGAATAAGGAAGTGAAGAGATCAGCAAGAAGAGATAAACGCTTGTGGACAGAAGAACTTGCAGAAAAAGCTCAAATGGCAGCTGAAATAAATGATTCCAGGACACTTTATCGCACTACTAAAACGCTTGCCATTAAAAACATTAATAGGAAATGTTCCATAGTGAAAGATAAAGAAGGAAATATACTAGCCTCAAAAGAGGATCAGCTGCACAGATGGACAGAATTTTTTAGTAAGCCTCAACAGGTAACAAATGATATTGATGAGGTACCAACGTCTCCAACAGAGAACTGCAAACCTAGAATCGCAACACGTGCTCCATCGATTCAAGAAATTAAGCAAGCATTATCACAGCTTATATAAGCAAGCGGCAGGTCCTGATAATATACACGCTGAACTATTTAAGATACACCAAGAAAACATTGCACAGCTACTAGAGACAATAATAAAAATCAGTATAGAGAATTTTCTTGAAAGATAATTGCTACAGTCATCCAAAAAAGAATATCAGATGCCCTTGAACCGACTTTGAGAAAAGAACAAGCAGACTTTAGGCCTCAAAGATCATGTATCGACCAAATTAACACTCTCAGAATAATAATAGAGCAATCTCAAGAGTTCAGATCGCCATTATACATGGTGCTCGTGGATTTTCAAAGAGCATTCGATACTATAAAACACATAGCCATCTGGAAAGCTTTGAGAGAAAAAGGAGTACCCGAAAAAATATCCGCATAATTAAAATGCTTTATCATGATGCTACAAGCTGTGTATTACATAAAGGCTAAGTGGGGGAGAAAATTTCTATTGCAGTAGGTGTAAAACAGGGCTGTATACTTTCGCCGCTACTCTATAACATCGTTCTGGATGTAGCACTAAATAGAGCATTTATAGAACCGCTAGGGATACAATGGGGACAGGGGAAGCAGGCTAGACATACAATGGGGAAGCAGGCTAGAAGACCTGGATTACGCAGACCATCTGTGCATCTTTTCTCATTCACATTCGGATATGTCTCAAAAACTTCTTAGACTCCAAGAGGAAGCTAATAATGTCGGTTTACAAATCAACGTGGCGAAAACCAAAGAAATGAGGTCAAATACTCCCAACAACCAAGATCTATACCTCTCCAACCGATCCATCGAAAGAGTTGATGAATTTCAGTACCTGGGAAGTATGGTACACAGCGATGGGGGCACAGAGAAGAAATAGATTTTCTTTCTAATATAGAGGAAAGGATTTTGAAGGCACAAAGAGCTTTTGGCATGCTTACACCTGTGTGGAACTCCTCTATATATAGCAAAAAACTAAAGTCCAGCTCTTCAATAGCAGTGTCAAATCTATTTTGCTTTATGGATGCGAAACATGGAAGGTTACGCGTGGTCTCATGGATCGCCTACAGGTGTTTGTTAAGAAGTGTCTTCGAAAAATATTGAGAATTTTCTGGCCCAATCAAATTAACAACAAAGAACTGTGGAGAAGAACATCACAAAATCGAATAGATATCGAAATTAAAAAAAGAAAGTGGGGCTGGATGGGGCACATTTTGCGCAGACCCCACAGAGATATCGCTAGACAGGCACTTGAATGGAATCCGCAGGAAGACGTGCCAGGGGAAGACCAAGGAATACCTGGAGAAGAACAGTAACCTCTGAAGCCCAAGAGGTTGGGAAAACATGTGGAGAGATCAAACAGACAGCTCAGAATAGGATCAGATGGAAACATCTCTTAGAAGCCATATGTCTCACGAAGGGATGACGGGAACATATATATATATATATATATATATATATATATATATATATATATATATATATATATATATATATATATATATATATATATATATATATATATGCAAGATTTGAATTGATTTAAGTTAAAAACAATCTTTGGATTGTTACGGAGTTTCTAACAGAACACTGTATCCTCTACGAACACAACGAACAAATTGAAGCTGAGAAACAACGACGAATACATATTTTGTGGGAAAAATGGGGAATACCAGAATACCTTATCACTGAGTGCACCGAGAAAATAACCGTTCGTGCCATATACTTTGGTACGGCTGATGTCGAAGATAGAGAGCTGGCCTCTTTGGAGCCGTCTCAGGTTGCAGAGACTGTATAATGAGTTATAACTAGTTATAACTCAAGAGAGGGAAACATACAATAGATCTGTAAGGTCGCGGTGATTAACCCCCCTCTTAAACATTTTACATTCAACATGCAAAACTTGTCATAAAGCCATAAACACAAAACCACAAAATATGCACTCTTATAAACCATGCAACCATCGATCGGTATAAAACTTTTTTTCATATCTTTGACAACAACGACGATATTGGATTTCCTCACACTAATGGGCCGTCCTGTACAGGGTGGCGCCTTTCATACGCCGCGGAAGCTCCAAGGAGAACGGTAGTTTATATCGAAATTAAATTTTCGCAGCCTATGTAGGTTAACTGAAAGCATTTTATAAAAATATATAGAATTAAACAGGGTGTCCCCAAAAAAAGTTACACATCAAAGTTGTGTTTTTTCTAATTGAACACCCTATATATTAATTGATATTCAGATTCTAGGAAAAAATAAAGGTGGGTTTAATTAAAGAAGCATATACTTAAAATCTAAGGATTTTGACATATATCACTTTTTGTGAAAATAAAGAGTATATTTTAGATTTCGATAACAGCTGCATAAATTTTAGTTGACCTTGTATAGCCTGATATTTAATTACATTACATTGCACGTTGAACCAGATTGAAATTTGACACGAAATATTATACAGGGAGAGACAAAATTAATATGGAACATTAGTCACTTTTAAAAGCAAGTTACTTTATTTTAAATGGAACACCCAGTATATTTTTCCGGTGTTCAACGGGGAATTTATATATATCTTCAAAATATTATTAAGGTTGCCTACCCCTCAGACAAATATTTTCCCAGATATTTTAATTTTTATGATTTTGCTCAGTAAATTATTATTATTTGAAAAAATCTAGGTGGCTGTGTGATATACCTTTTGTTAATTTAACAAAAATTAAAGATTGTAGAGTAAAATACTCGAAGGTAATAAAAAGATACACGTTTAAAACAATACATATTTTAATTATTACAGAATTAGAACTAGATCTAAACCTATAATTATGCGACAAAAATTAGCTAGATGAAATCAAATGCTCAAAATGCTTCCTTTCCTGTTAACTGCATAAACTGATTGTCTTTTCAAAACGATCTTTTCATTTTAAAAGGCATTATGTGGAGTTCTACCGCGAAAAGCAGCTACAAAAACTTTTCTTATGTTGACGACACTAGTTGGTCGAGTTTTGTAAATACTGTCTTTAACATATCCCCATAAACAAAACAGACTAGATTCTTTCTGATGTAGGATAAGTTTGCATTTTCGGCAAATTTCTGAGAATTTTTTTTAACTAACACAAAATTATTAGTTGTTAAAGTGGGAACTAGTTGTTAAAGTTGGAATAATTAGACAGCTATGTTGCAGTAACGTCTGCCCATATCACAGCCACCTAGATATTATCAAATAATAAAGATCTACTCAGATCAAATCATGTAAATGAAAATATCTAGGAAAATCTTTGTTTGAGGGGTAGGCAACCTTAATACTATTTTGAAGAGACATGACTTCTCCATTGAATATCGGAATAATATACTGGGTGTTCAATTTAAAATAAGAGAATAACATACTTTTAAAGGTGACCAGTGTTCAATATTAATTTTGTCTCACCCTGTATAACTTTTTGGATCAAGTTTTAATTTGACTTAAAGTACAATAGTTCATTTAACTACATATTAGGCTATACGGGGTAAATTTTTAATACATTTTAGGTAGCTTTTATTGTAATTTAAAAATTGCTCTTTATTTCTAGAAAATGTTAAATATGCCAAAAACCTTACATTTTAGTCATATACTTCTCTTATAAAACTTACCTTTATTTTTCTGTCAGAATCTGAAAATCAATTAATATATAAGGTGTTCCATTACAAAAAACAAAATATTGATATGTAACTTTTTTTGGGGACACCTTGTAGAACTCTCTATATTTTTAAAAAGTGCTCTGAATTAACCTACATATGCTCACAACATTTAATTTCAATACAAACTGTCGTTGTCCTTGGAGCATCCGCGGCATATGAGGGGCGCCACCCTGTATATAATATCGGTGATGATAAAATAGGTATGTAAATTTTATTTAGACTAGACTTACTGTAAGAAATTATTGAATTTATTGTTTGACTTCATTGAAGAAATAAGGTTGTTTCTAAGCCAACAAAGAAATCTCCCTCGATTTATTTTTCTGTCTCAAGAATAGAGAACTTCATAGACACCCTTCGAACTTTTTTCTAGATTTTTTTGTGACAAGACAGACGGCATATGAAATTTATTTCGAGAGGTGGCCATATACACGTAAAAAATAAATCAAAAGTATTTCAACGCGCCGCAAACTAACCGAAACCTCTTTCGGAGTTGGAAAAAACTCCTGCTCGTTAATAAACTTGTCGATAGCTCTCTGGATTTGGAAGATCTTTAAGGCTGTTGTTCCCTTATTGAAAATAATTAATATATTTATTAATATTTAACCTCAGAAGCATTATTATTTTATAAAATTTAAATAATATATTATGTAATGAATATTTAACATATTATGCGCAAATGGAAAAAGTTGTACCTCATGAATACGCAGTATGCATATGCAACAGGAATTGCATACTATAGTAAGTTTTAATTAATAATGTTTAAATTTTGCTTTTCTACAAAAAACAAATATTAATAAATATAAAATAATTATATTAGTAAAATTATTATATTTTATTATAATTTTATCAATTTCAATTTCATTCTATTACATATTATTATATATTTTGTTTTTTTTATTAGATAAGATTTCGATCACATGATGACAGAAAAAAAGCAGATGAGGTCCGTACCAATCTATTTATTTCACTAAAAAAGTTTCTAATATTTTTTAAGTTAACTACGGATGGGTTTATACATAAGGAATGTGTGTTATAGTCTGTCCAACGAGAAGATCCTTGACAGTGATAGATGTGTCTGTCATTTTAATTTCAAAGTAGTTTATTTTATTTTACAAAGAAATAAGTTGGTACAACTGGAACGCATAGCAGGATATATTTAAAATTTGACTGACAAGTGATTACTTCAAAATATTGTGAAAAAAACTGTATGAAACTGAAAAAATGTAATCGAGTTATTTTATTTAATAAAAACGGTATGTGTTAATACAAAACAAACAAGAACAAGACCACTACATACCAAAAAAATATAAAAAATAACTATTATTTACTTTCAAGCTTTATGAAACTACCCGCATTTATGATTATATTTATCAATATAACTTATGTACAAATACAAATTTGTAATATTCCACAGGAATAAATAAAACAACATAGGTAAATAAAACAAACTATTTTAATAATAATAACACCTACCAAATTTTATACCTTAAAGGTTGATTAATTAACTTTAATCTTAATTTTTTTAAATCAGGACCTTTTGACATTATTTTTCTGCAGTACTAAAATCCATTATTTACCTCTCGTGTGATGTCGATATTTTACAGCTACTCCAGTTTTTAGTATATGTTTAGTTTGATCCTTCTACCATATACGAGATGCACTTATCTACGACGAAATGGTATACAAACTTTATCGATGGCAACTTCATTGGTGTATAAGACTTTCTGCCTGGAC